AGGAAGCCCAGAATTGACAGACAGAATGGAAGAGTGGGGTCCTAAGAGAGCTCCCAAGGGGCAGTAAACTTGGCTGAAACAAATGCCACTTTGCTTCCCCCCCACCCACTTTTTATTCTCTCCCATTTTTCTTCTCTTTTCTGCTTTTTAGTTTTTCTCTTTCCTCTATTTTTTCCTCTTTTTAACATTGTCTTCTTTACCTGCTTTATCAATTAGTTATCTTTCTAGTCTCTGTGGTTTCACTCATATATCTAACTTTCCTCTTCTCTTCCCCTAATCATTTTTCTTTCTCTTTTCTTTTTTTCACTACCCATTTTTTCTCTTTTTTATTTTTCTCCTTACTTCTTATCTTTTTTCTCTCTTCCTTAATATATAGGTCTAACTGCTTTCACCTCTGTTTGCCTTTTTAAGTTTTTTTTTCTTGGTCTTTTCACTTCTTTTCTCCATCCTTTATTCTAAATGGTGTTCCTTCCCCTATTCCTCTAGATCTTTAGTCTTATTTTCTCTATTAAGTTCTGCATCTACATATTTGCCTGCCCCCTTTTTCTTGTTGTTTTTTTTTGTTTTGTTTGTGCTCTTTTGTTTATTGGTTTTGTTGTATTTCTCCCCATATTTTGTCTTTCTTCTTTTCTATCATTCTTGCTCTCTTTTCCCTTTTATGATCTTCTCGTTTCTGGTGGGAGTATTTGTGGGTGCTATAGGGGTCTTATGTACATTCTTGTTTTGTTTCTCCTGTGTTGTATTTTGTCTTGTATTTTATTCTTTTCAGTCAGCACTTCCACAACAGCTTGCACAATGAGGTTGGGAGTGAGCCACATAGTCAGACAACCTGAGAGGAGACTCCATCCACGAACAAAAAAATAATATTCAAGACCACATTACAACAGGAAAACCCAAATAACTCAAGTAGGGGGCTTCCTAGAGCACCCAGCTCAGGAGATCTGAGAGACTACGCCACTGGGTCCCACAAAACCCCTCCTACATAAGACCACCTCGCAAAATCTGAGTGGCATAGCAGTTTGATCTAATATATAGAAACAAAAACAAAGGGACAACAAAAATGGGGAGACAAAGAAACAATCCCCAAAAGAAAGGAACGGTGGAATCACCAGAAAATGAACGAAATGAAATGGAGGTAAACAATTTGTCAGAAAAAGAATTCAAAGTACTGGTTATAAGGATGCTCCAAACATCTGACTGAGAATAACAAGCAACTCAATGAGAATAAGGAACTGAACGAGAAATACACCAACATGAATAAGAATCAAGACGAAATGAAGATTGACATAGCTTCAATAAAGAACACCCTGGAAGGTTTCAACAGTGGACTAGAGGAAGCCGAGGATTGAATCAGCAAGTTATAAGACAAGGCAGAAATAAACACGCAATCAGAGCAGTAATTGGAAAACACAATTAAAAAGCAGGAGAGTGTAGAGGAGCTTTGGGACAACATGAAATGAAGCAACATCCACATAATAGGGGTGCCAGAAGGAGAAGATGAGCAAGGAATAGAAAACCTGTTTGAAGAAATAATGACAGAAACCTTCCCTGACTTGGGCGGTGGGGGGAAGTAACTCAAGTCCAGGAAGCACAGAGAGTCCCAATCAAAATGAACCCAAAAAGACCCACACCAAGACACATCAAAATTAAAATGGCAAATGTTAAAGAAAAAGAAAGGATCTTGAAGGCTGCAAGAGAGAGACAGAAAGTTACCTACAAGGGATCTCCGATTAGACTATCAGCTGATTTCTCAACTGAAACACATCATGCCAGAAGGGAGTGGCATGAAGTATACAGAGTAATGAAAAGCAAGGGACTGAACCCAAGACTTACTCTACCCAGCAAGGCTATCATTCAAAATTGAAGGTGAAATCAGGTGCTTCACAGACAAAAAAGGCTAAAGGAGTTTATTACCACCAAACCAGCAATCAAGAAATGCTAAAGGGACTGTTGTAAGAAGAAGAAACAGAGAGAGGGAGGAAAACCGACATAAAGAATTAAATGGCAACAAACAAGTAACTACCAATAATAACCTTAAATGTAAATTGATTAAATGCTCCAATCAAAAATACATAAAGTAGCTGAATGGATAAGAAAACATGACCCCACCCTGGCCGGTTTGGCTCAGTGGATAGAGCGTCGGCCTGCGGACTGAAAGGTCCCAGGTTCGATTCTGGTCAAGGGCATGTACCTTGGTTGCGGGCACATCCCCAGTAGGGGGTGTGCAGAAGGCAGCTGATTGATGTTTCTCTCTCATCTATGTTTCTAACTCTCTATCCCTCTCCCTTCCACTCTGTAAAAATTAATAAAATATATTTTTTAAAAAAGAAAATATGACCCATATATATGCTGTGTACAAGAGATCCACCTCAGAACAAAGGACTCACACAGACTGAAAGTGAAGGATGAAAAAATTTTCCAGGCAAATGGAAATGAAAACAAACCTGGTGTAGTAATACTTATATCTGACAAAATAGACCTCAAAGTGAAGGCCATAACAAGAAATAATGAAGGCCACTTCATAATACTTAAGGGATTAATAGAACAAGAAGATATAACTCTGGTAAATATATATGCACCCAATGCAGGTGAGAGATTGACAGCAATACAACATAGTAGGAGATTTTAATACCCCACTGACATACTGGATAAATGTTCTAGACAAAAAATCAACAAGGAAACAGCAATTCTAAATGACTCACTAGATCAGATGGAACTAATTGACATGTTCAGAACATATCACCCCAGAGCTATGGAATATACATTCTTCTCAAGTACACATAGCAGACTTCCAAAGATAGACAATATGTTAGGACACAAACTAAACTCTGCAAATTTAAGAAGATTGAAATTATATCAAGCATCTTCTCAGATCACAATGAAATGAAATGAGTAATCAACTACAATAAAAACACTCAAAAACAATCAAACACATGGAGGCTAAATAGCATGCTATTAAAAAATGAATGGGTTACCAAAGAGATCAAAAAACAAATATTTTTTTAAATCTTGGAAACAAATGACAATGAAAAACAACAATCCAAAATCTATGGGACACAGTGAAAGCAATCCTGAGAGGGAAGTTAATAACACTACAGGCCTACTTCAGAAAACAAGAAAACCTTATAATAAGTTATCTAACCCTGCAACTTAAAGAATTAGAGCAACAAGAAAAGCCCAGTGTAAGTAGAAGGAAGGAAATAATAAAGTTCAGAGCAGAAATAAATGACACAGAGACAAAAGAACAACAACAAAAAAACACACAAAAGATCAATAAAGCCAAGAGCTGGTTCTTTGAAAGGATAAACAAGATTAATGAACCTCTAGCCCAGTGGTTCTCAACCTTCCTAATGCCGCGACCCTTTAATACAGTTCCTCATGTTGTGGTGACCCCCAATTTCATTGTTGCAAATTGAACATAATTAAAGCATAGTGATTAATCACAAAAACAATATGTAATTATATATGTCTTTTCCGATGGTCTTAGGCGACCCCTGTAAAAGGGTCGTTCGACCCCCAAAGCGGTCGCAACCCACAGGTTGAGAACCGCTGCTCTAGATGAAAAGCCAAAGTTACATGGACTGAGTTTGAAGTGCATTTCTGTTTCCTGGCAGAGGCTTAACTAATAAAGATATGCTTATGAGCCACTAAGAACTGACTTTTTGCGCTGATGTTTCTGTTGGAAAGGGGTGTTTTCATGGAGTTGCAAGGAAAGCATTTTGGGGATCCACATATTGGAGTATAAAGTTTAGTGCTAAAAATTTATTAAAGCTGGAGCAAAGACTGTCCCAGGGTCAGCTTCGTCCCACTATGAAAGGAGTCCAACTTGTCTTCCTCCAGCCCAGAACAAAGGCCAAGATGCAGAATTCGGTGCCATTGGCTTAGTCCAGCGGTTCTCAACCTGTGGGTCGCGACCCCTTTGGGAGTCGAACGACCTTTTCACAGGGGTCGCCTAAGACCATTGGAAAACACATATATAATTACATATTGTTTTTGTGATTAATCACTATGCTTTAATTATGTTCAATTTGTAACAATGAAAATACATCCTGCATATCAGATATTTACATTACGATTCATAACAGTAGCAAAATTACAGTTATGAAGTAGCAACGAAAATAATTTTATGGTTGGGGGTCACCACAACATGAGGAACTGTATTAAAGGGTCGCGGCATTAGGAAGGTTCAGAACCACTGGAATAGAAAGAAGGCACTGGCTGAGCCAATCTTTTATGTGATTTAGGTTGTCTTTTATTGTACTTTACATTCCCAATTTAGGGACTTTTATATGTGTCTTTTATTTAAAAAGTTAGAGAAAATATATTTTATAGTAAACAATGAGAAACCCCACTTTTAACTTTACAATTAAGAAATGTAAACTTATATGGTAATGGTGCAGTTACCCTAGAATGTGAAATGAAATACAATCATGACGTGTTTTTTAAATTATTATGGAATTTTTCAAACCTATAAAGAGTTGAGAAAACATTGTGAATGAAAAGGGGAGCTTAGAACAAAGAGTCCGTCACTGGCTAGTTGTTCAAAGGAAGAGACGGAGTCAGATGTTGCTGAGCACCCTCCGCTGGGAGACGGCTCGCACCGGGCCGGGAACTGGGAACCGCAGCGGCCCGCCAAGGGGATTAGCACCCTGCCTTCCCACTCTGCTACTGGTGGTGTTTGCGGGGGCTGAGGGGTGCAGGGGGAGATAAGGACAAGCCAATAAAGTCCAAAAGGCACAGGGAGCGGTGCTTGAGCCCAGAGGCCTGCCAGTCCAAGCTGGGACAGGGAGCATGGGCCCACCCGAAGCCCCAGAAAGTTTGGGAAGCTGATTGGTTATTTTGAAAAATCTTCTGGTTCCTCCCAAGCCTGAGAACACATAGTTCCAGGTAAACAAAGAATCAATCTCTCTCTCTCTCCCCACGCTCACCCCATGTGCTGGTGGTCTGTTCTCTCTCTATAGCCATGTGGCCCTAGCAGCGGTGTGACAGATACATCAGAGTTTGGAGCAAGGAATGGTTTATTGATTAAGAAGGCTTAGCTCGAGAAGATGGGAGAAATGATTCTAAATCCTGTTAGGTGGTTCAGGAGTTGGCGTAAGAAATAAAGAGAGTCGAGTCAATCAGAAAAGAAAGAAAAGAAAAGGTTTTAATCTGTGTCCCCGGGCAACCCACGAACCCCAAAGACAGGGCCAGTGGATTCGAGCCCACAGGGAGGGGGGGTTTGTTTTATACTGCAGTTGGGTGATGGGCGGGGGCATGAACTGAGGAAGTTCCCGCCCCAGGGGGTCAGCAGGGTATTCAGGAAGGAGTCAGTATCTGTGTGGGGGTCGTTGTGGATTCCAGGGAGGAGCCGGTATCTGTGTCTGGCACACTGATCTGTTAGAAATTCCAGGGAGGGCCCATTATCTCCTCACGCATCTGCCTGCATCTGATCCTGGGTTCTCTCCAACCTAACATCCCGGCCTTTTGGTGATAGGGGACGCCAACTCATTCTAACTACTTCCAGCTGACCAGGGACGACGAGGGGGCAGGGGGGTTTAAAGGCCAGGGTCGGGCAGAGGCAGGTCGGAGGGCAGCCGAGTGTAGGGATGGAGCAGGAGCTGATTCAAAGTCACCTGTGACATCTCTGCAATCCGGGAGCGGATGAACTTCAGGAGGCAGGGGGCTAGGAGAAAAAAGACACAGATGAGAATCAGGGGCCCTATCATGGGTAGGACCCAGGTAGCTAAAGGGCTTTGGAGCCAGCCGAAAAGAAAGTTGTTCTGGGAGTGTCTTGTATGTAGTCCTTCACTCAGCTTAGTCAGGGTCTGCACGTTTTGTTCCACTACTCTGGACTCGTTGGTGTAGTAGCAGCATTCTTCCTGAAGGAATATGCAGGTTCCTCTTTTTTCTGCAGTCAGAAGGTCTAAGGCGCGCCAGTTCTGTAGGGCTACCTGGGCTTCTGATGTTACCTGCTGCTGTAGGGAGGCTAAAAAGAGGTGGTAGTAGACTCCAGGGCTAACTGGAGCTTGTCATTAAAGTCCTGAGCAGAGACCAGACTGTTCCTGAGGGCCCCCCCGTGAGGCCTACTGAGGCAGCGATACTCACCCCTAACATGACAGGGAGGAAGGCGGCCCGGCGGGTCCAGGGGGTGGGATGGAAGGAGCAGCCAGGCGAGCTCCGACTCTCCATACAAGGTTAGTTGGGGAACTACTGTGACCACGAAGCAAGGCCTGGGGTCAGAGGAGTTCATGCAGTTACTTAAGGTGCCGTTGCACCAAAAGAAGGTACCCGGGCTGGCCTTGGTGAGACTGGCTTCGGTGTGGTTTTGGGTGCAGTTCCAAGTGACTCATCCCCCAGTTACCGGATAACTGGTCTGGTAGCATATCCGTGGGGGCAGGGTAGGCTCTGGAGTTTCAGGTTCCCAAAGGGAAAAAAGGGGGGCCACCCTTGACCTTATTATAGTCATCATGGATGACACAGTCTCTCCAGCAGCAACCCCCATAGGTGTTGACATCTTGATTACACCTGTCTGGGTTCCGCTGGTCATAAGCAAAACAGACATAGGGTTGGCCAGCATTGGCCACTGACCAGATGTCGACAGCCATCCGGATCTTTGTCTGGCATCCGACCAGAGGGCAGTCCTGAGATCCTACCTGCCGGGTGACTTGTTTGCCGTTCTGGTAGTTGGTTTCACGGACCTTGAACCTCCACACATAAGCGGGTGGGGGTTGGTGTAGGTTGCTCAGGGCCAGAAGGAGAAGGAGGAGGGGGAGGGCAACCGAGGCGGACCTTAGTGGGGTCCAACACCTCACATTTATAGAAGTCATGCTGCTCCGGGGTCCTCTTGAGCCTGGAGAGGTGGTGCCACGACGGGTTGCCGAGCAGCTTGGCCGAGGTGGGGGTTATAAGGATTACAGTGTGAGGTCCCGTCCACCTAGGCTCCAAGGCTTTTGGATGTAGATTCTTAAGGAGGACCGAGTCACCAGGGTGAAGGGCTGGTCCTCGGGAGTCCTGGTTGGTCGGCTCTGGCTTGGGCAGAAACCTGTCCGCGTGTTCTCGGAGCAGTTGCCTGGGTAAGGACAGATATGGGAGATATGTACCCAGGGGAGGAGGATCAGTAGGGAGACAGTGGTTGAGCAAGAAGGGTCTCCCATATAGGAGTTCAAAAGGGCTTAAGAAGGTGGGGCTCCTTGGTGTAGCCCGGATTCTGGTTGGGGCCATGGGCAGGAGGTTCAGCCAGGAGCTGCGAATTTCTAGAGAGAGTTTAGTTAGATGGTCCAATAGGTTGGAATTGAGTGGTTATGATGAGGGTTCAAGCCAGTGACAGACAAATCCAGCAGGATGTAGAGGAGGAGGGATTGATGTTAGAGAGTAGATGGAAAGTTGTGTTGATGAGGGTGGGCATAGGAATAGGTCCAGGGTTCATAAATAGAGAGTGACACTAGAGGATTTCCCATCCCAGACAGTAGAATTGATGACTCCCTCATCATTCCATGTCAGTTTCACCCGAAAATATTAAAAACCTGAGCTTCCTCCGGAATAAAAATTGGAAGGTCCCTTGCCAGGTAAGAGCCTGTGAGGAATGATGGGTCATCAGGTCCTGGATGGTGCCACTGAGTCTTCTTCGGGGATGGTGGGAGGCATTTGGTAAGCCTGAGAGAGGTAGGTATTGCAGTGAAAGTGGGAGGGAATGTTAGAATGCGCTGTTATCCAAGGGAAAAGAGAAAGGGAAGGAGCAGTGGAAGCCAGGGACCTGGATATGAGGCTGGAGAAAAGGCGAGGGGGGAGAGGGAGGGAGCAGGCTGCCTGCTCCCAGGACTCTAGCCATTTGGATTTTAAAGTTGCCGCATTTTTCCTAGAGATAATGTTTCAGTTTCTGATAATAGCCGGACTGTTGAGTAAACCTATGCATTCAAGGAAGTTTCCTTTGGGAAGGAGGGAGTGGGGGAAGGGGCGAGAAGGCACCGAGGTCAGAGCAGTTTTCAGAGCACCAAAGGGGTGAGGATGTTGGCCTTGGGATCTATGGGGTCAGTGAGGGGGTTCCTTCACCATGTCATGTCATAGAGGAGGTTTGCAAGAAGACTACAGTTGTGAACCCGGAGGCAAGAGTACCCAGTGAGCCTGAGGAAGGAGAACACTTCTTGTTCAGAGGAGGGGACAGTCGTGGAGGATATAAGGAGATAAGGCGTTCACAGCGAGACTGAGGTAGGCAACTGTGGTCTGGGACAACAGGGCCCCATAAGAGGACGCATGGCAGTGGGGGATCGGCGTCCCTGTGAAGGGAGGGGGCCAGGAGCAGAAGGAGCAGGGAGGCTGAAGGGCTCCGAGTGGGCTGCAGAGTGGCCGCTAGTTTGGTGAGAATATCTCATCCTAAAAGGGGCATGGGGCATGAAGGCATGACTAAGAACGAGTGGGTTATAGGGCTATCATCAAGGAGGCAGGGAAGGGGTCCGGTGGTCAGCGGGCAGGTGGATTTGCTGTCAATACCCATGACCAAGATCGTGGAAGGAAAAAGGAGCCCTGAAAAGGAGGGCAGGACAGAGAAGGTAGCCCCCGTGTCGACCAGGAAGGAGACCTGTGCACCCGCTACCTTCATTGTGACCCTGGGCTCGGCGAGGGTGATTGGGTTGTCGAGTCGGGGCTGCTTCAGTCTTCAGCCAGTCCCAGCATGGCCAGCGGCGGGTCATGACCTGGAAGGGTGGCCCCTCCACACTGGGGTGCAGAGGGCCCACCACTTTTCCAGGGGCAGTCACTCTTCCAGTGGCCGCTTTGACGGCACGCCCAGCAGGGCTTGGTTGGAGCCTGGGGCTGGGGGCACTGCTTTGCCCAGTGGCCTTCATTTCCACATTTGAAGCATTCTCCAGGTGGCGTTCCTTTTGTTGCACCCCCACCGTGCACAGCCCCCTTGGGGCCATGGCGGCTGCCGACGACTGCAGGGCCACAACCAAGGCGTGAGTTTGCAGGTCTACCTTCTGTCGAAGGCGGGCCTCCCAATTTGATTCTACCTGCTCCTCACAGGCGTTAAAATCTTAAAGGCCATGTTCACTAGACTCGGACCGGGGTCTGAGGGCCATCCTCAAGGTCAGTGGAAAAAAAAAACCTGAGATGCCTCTCAATCTGTGAGGCTGGACATAGAGAGTGGGGCATAGACTCAGACTATGCCCTCAGTCCCTGCTGCCTCCCTCAGGGGTAGAATGGGCGCAGAAATAGAAGAGGCTGTTGAGGAAGGCAGTCTTTGGGTGGCCTGAGAATGAGTGTTAAGTGGGAAAGGCTGTTTTGGAGCTCACATTCTCAGGATTTGGGCTCTCAGGGATAGGGGAGAAGGCGGCTGCTGGTTAAGAGGGTCTGAAGAGAAAGAGCCGAGGAGTTTTTCAATTTGAGGAAGATCAGAGAGTGAGAGGGAATGGCTACCCGGATAAAATCCTTCCCAGCCGCAACCTCTCCTAAAGGGAACTGGCTGGCCACCTGTGAATTCAGTTGCTGGCAGTCATGGGGGCAGAGATTCGGTGGAGCGCACAGAGGAAGGTGGGCGGTTAGAACTCTCAGAGGGTAGGTACAGCGTGGGGTATAGGTTTCTACGGCAGAGTTGTAGTGGGGGAGGGGAGAGTGGGAGAGGTGGAGATGAATGATCCTGGGTGGGGTTGGCAGAGAAGGACCCCAGCCACCTCTCGCTTCTCAATCGTACTCATACACCGCAACCTCCCAGGGGCGGGGCAGAGGGGAGGAGGGACAGAAGGAAGGTGGGGCCTGCGGACGCGTGTGTTTACCAACTGGGGAAGCAGGCAGGGGTGGGGGCGGGGTTAGTCGCCCTGCGACTTGAGTTTCCAGCTCCCGCAGCGGCTGGGCCGCGGGGGCGGGCAGAAGAGGGGAGGCGGGGTCTGTAGGTAGCGGTGGAAGACGGGAGGCTGGGTCAGTAGTTAGCGGAGAAGGCGTGGCTGGAGGAGGGTCCTGCAGGGAGGGAGGAGGGGAGAGTGTGGATGGACAGGGGCACAAGCCGGCGGGAGAACGGGCGGCCTTTGCCGGGGGAGTTCACTGTGGTCTCTGGTGGGGGGGGGGTGGGAGGATGTGGGGACGATGGCGGGGCCGTTGCCACCCCCCCACACACACAGCACATGAACCCACCCCCACACGCACTGCACACACCATGGGCTCAGTGGCGCACGACGCAGCGAGGCAACAGCCCGGAGGGAGGAGGGAGGACGGGTTGAGGAGAGGAGGCAGAAGGAGCTTTGGGGGAGGGGGACGGGGACGCAGATGGAGAGAGGGAGAGAGAGAGAGGCTTGGGCATATTTCCCGGTTCGCTGGCAGAAATTACTGAGATCGGTAAAGGTGGTAAAATCCAAGGTCCCATTGTCGGGCCATCTGGACCCTTTGTCCAATTCATACTGAGGCCATGCTGCGTTACAGAAATAAATGAGGCATTTAGGACGCAAGTCCGGGGCAGGCCTAGTGTTTAGCCAGGTTGGTGAGCAGGCACCCTAGAGGTGTGCTCGGATCAGGTTTGGAATTTGGATTCCCCGTGCTCAATACCGGTGGCCTGTAGCGGGGCCAAAGGCCAGCGTCCCAGCGGTTTGACCCAGGCTACGGACGAACGGAGGGACCAGGGGAGGTAGAGAGTCTCCGCTACCTTCCGAGGTCCGGAGGAGCCTTCCTGGAAGTGTCCGGAAAGGCAATCTCTGACACGGCTGCGTTTTACAGACAGAGATCCGGAGGGCGGGCGGCCATGAGGGACCGGCACGGGGGCGGGGTGGGACTCACCGCTAATGTTGCCAAACTGGGAAAGGCTGCCGAGCTGAAGAAATGTGGTCCTGATGGGTCCTGGGCCACGAGGAGGGAGAGGCGGGCACCCCGAGCCATGGAGGGACGGCCAAATGGGGTGCTCGCGCCACCAGGGTTTCAAGGCACCAAATGTTAGGTGGCTCAGGAGGCGGCATAGGAAATAAAGAGAGTCAAGTCAATCAGAAAAGGAAGAAAAGGTTTTAATTTGCGTCCCCAGGCGACCCACGAACCCCAAAGACAGGGCCAGTGGATTCGTGCCCAGGGAAGGGGGTTTCTTTTTTATACAGGTGTTTAATGAGGGGCGGGGGCATGAGCTGAGGAAGCTCCCGCCACGGGGGTCATCACGGTATTCAGCTGGATAAGTTCCCAGCCGCAGGGGTCGGCAGGGTATTCAGGAAGGAGTCAGTATCTGTGTGGGGGTCGTCGTGGATTCCAGGGAGGAGCCGGTATCTGTGTCTGGCACACTGATCTGTTAGAAATTCCAGGGAGGGTCCATTATCTCGTCACACGTCTGCATGTATCCGATCCTGGGCTCTCTCCAACCTAACAAATCCATCTGAAGACAGC